TGCAAAAGAAGAGTTAGGGGGGGGGGGATCTAATTGAGGCTTTTAATATTGCAAAGGGAATTGATAGTGTTGATGCATCATCTTTTTTTATATTCAACAGTTAGAATAGTAGGACTAGGGGACACAAATATAAATTTGGCAAGGTAGGAGTCATCTTCAGGTAAGACAGTTTTATTTTTCTAACAGTGGGTGGCATTTGGAATTGGTTGCCTTCAGATGTTGTAGAAGCAGCACATTTAAGTGAGTTTAAGAAAAAGCTTGATAAGTATATGAATGATAAGGGCTGGCTTTAATATATATATATATTTTTAATTACTTTAGTTTAGAGGATGGAACAGCCGAGATGGACCAATAGGTCCCATGTTGCCCCAAAACATTGTTATGTTAAAATAGTCTTAAAGTGTTTTCTAAAGTTGTGGAACTATTTCTTTGACATTCATATATCACTTTATACTTTAGAATTCAAGTACTTTACACAATAGTTCTTAGCGTGTTGAGAAGAAATTTTATGCATAATACGTACATCCTCCGATCCCCTAAGTGGTAATAATATTAACGTGTATTAAATCATTTTGTACTATAGAAAGGTGCGCACATTTTGTCCACGACTGTAAAAGGAGCTAGATAAAGCTTTTAACTTATTAAGAATAAGTTTAGTCTTATTCCCTTTTGCAACGTTCCCTTTTGATTTTCTCAACAATTGGTCCTTGTAAATTAGTGATTTCCAAATTATTTTCCACACTGGGCCACTTCATATAATGACAATAAAACAAAGGATGGACTTGAGCTTATTGGGGAATACATATTCCCCAAATACGATTTTGCTTACTATTGATTATTATGATAATTGAAAACATTGTTATGTGATATATCCGATTACTGTGCTGTCCATGAACCAGGTTTTTCAAAGCTTCTGATGTGACCCGCTGGTTGCATATTGGGGACCATTATCGTAATTCGTTATGCATGTATGAAATGAACTTATAATGGAAGAAGTATTATTCCTTTCCACAAACTATTATTTTCAAGTTTCCAAACTATTTTAACCCATAAAAATTAACATTTATTTAAAGCTTTTTTTTATTTCTAGGTTATATTATAAAATTTACATTAGCTATATTTCCAATGTTTTTATTGAAAAAAAAGTTACGGGGAAAAGTCCCCTACATTGTAGAAGTGACAGGGCTGTTTTTCATATAACGATGAACATTAGATGTTCCTTTAAAGTTTATGACTTAAACATAATTATTTGTTCAGTAAAAATGAATAAATTTTGTTGGTAGGCCACAGAAAAAAATGTTATATTAAGCGAATTCCTTTCAATATATGCCGATTGCATTTATTTCAGCCACTTAACGTCCACACATTTGTGTGTTTGGCAAAAAGAAAAAGGTATTCAAGATTTCCAAAGTATACCTCTCTCTCCCCAATAGATTAAATCGTAAACAAGCTGTTTCCATATGTAACAATCCAAATAATGAAACATTATTAAAGTAACAATAATAATCCTTCTCAGAGTGTTGTCGCTTCTTTAGTCGTCTTCTCCCAAGTCAACAACAATGTTCTTGTTGATACCAACGGGACATGGAAACATTATGAATGGCATTTCTGACTTCACCACATAGTACCCCAAAGAAAAAAGATTGACGAGTAGATAGGTCCCTTTGTCCAGCTCCCTTGCGGTGTACTTTACAGTTGCATATCGTGGATTGTTCACTGCTGTCATAACCTATGTTGAGAACTCCATGAGACTGGATATAGTTTAAACGAAATGCTGAATTCCAACTAAGAAAGCTACTAGTGTACCTGCAAGTCTCGATTTTGATAGCAAACACGTCAAAACATATTAATTTCACGGTTATAATAGAACAACGTGAATTTGTTTTTTTCCACTCGATTTTAAATGTTCGCCTTCTGTTTTCGTTTTTTTCTTTATCATTA